GGTAATTACATGATACTGCCCCTCCCGCCCCCCAGCCTGTCCCAGGGGAGGGAAGACCATCCTGGGGGTCACTGGATTGACTCGTGGGCAGATAGGAGGACATGGGGGGAAGGGCGGCGCTCTATCTCCAAGCCTCTCCCTCCCCATCCCGTTTCAAAACTACTGCCATCGCCGAGTCCAGGGAAGAACTTAGCCTGGAAGACGAGACATTTCCACACACATGACGCTTGTTAAGAAGACCTAGTCATCCTTGAGAATCGGGCTGTGGCTGGCAGACTTGCTTAGGCAAGAAGCTGAGGTTGCACGGCTCTTTGCCCCGTTCAGGGCAGTAGCAGACGCTCCGAGAGAGCTCTGTAACAAGGCATGCGTTCCCCACGTGAAGAACAGGGGACTCTTAGGTGCCGAGACCTTGGAGAAATTTGTGTAGACGAGAGCTTTTCTTTTCGTTCCAAGTTGCTGCTGCAGTGTGATCACCCCCTTTCCGCGGGTGTCTGCGCAGGCACAGCATGAGCCAGGGGCTTTTTAAGAGAGGGTGACGCGTGAGGGAACTAGATACGCGAGGTTTTGCAAAGCCTGCAGTTGGAGGGAATCCCGCCTCTGCAGGAGCGGACCCACCCTATGCCTGTCCCAGCGCCTCTGAGAAAACAGGCGTTTCTGACAGCGGAGCAACCCACGGGTTCCCCCTCTCGGGGTGGTGGGGACAACTCAGTGGCAGTTCAGGAGGCTTTTATTATTCATCCCTTGTTTCATAAACCTGATTCAGCTGTGGGACGACTCCTCACCGTCCCAGCCAAGGGAGCCACAGGTGGCTCCTCGCATAAGCAGGGAAGGAGGCGAGCAAAGCACGCGGCCAATCACCAGGCCTGGCCAGCCACGGGCCTCGTTACAGCTCCCGTTCTGACACCTGGTCCTGGTCTGTCCGACTTTTCTGGTGGCTGGTAGCTTCCTCCTAAAGACCTCAGCCACAGCTTAACAACCACCTGCCCCGACGGTCAACTGCTGCCCTAGGTATGGAAAACCCTAGCAAAGTTTTCAAAAACACTCGTTTCCTGCCTGCAGCACCATGTAACAATTTTCTTTCCAAAGAACTCAGTCTTAGGGTTAGCCCTGGACCTTGTAGAGTCAGGGTTTGAGTTGGTCATTTCGCTTGGCCCCACCAGGCCTGATCTTCAGCGGTCGACACAGCAGGACCCCTGTCCCAGCCTGTTGGAGTTCTAGGTGAGGTTTTCAGCCTAGTGTACGGTGGAACCCTACGTGCCTGCCACACTGTCCGACTTTCATTCTCGCCCTTTGAATCTAAAGAACCTGCATCGGTGTACAGGGAGGCTCTAGGTGGAGACATACTAGTGTGTCACCCTGGGTGATCCGTACCTCCATGCCTCCTTACTTGCTGTCCCACGAGGAACCTCGGCTCTTAGCAGCAGCTTCAGCTCACTAGTGTAGCGTGGAACCTGCACTCCAAATGTCTGGCCAGCCTTAGCCTCTCTCTGGGCAAGAAGGGCATAAGCTTTGCTTTGGGGGTCCCAGGAAAGACATTAAGAGGACAGAGGAGGGTAGGGTTCCCTATGATGCTGGGATTCTGGCTCCCAAACCCATTCCGGCAGAACCAGGTGACAGATGCAGTGGGGCACACAGAGCTGCAGGCTGGACAGGTTCTGAGCGCCTTGGTCAGCAGCAGCCCGGGAGGCCGCTGGTGCACAGGGCCCCTTGGAACATGGAGTCAGGCATCAGCATGACACAGCCCAGTCAGCTCCAGCTGCACTCTGTCCAGTGTCCAAGGGCAAGGAGAGTGGCCGCGTTCCCCCTGCCACTGCCCCAGGGTTGCTGTGTCTCACAGGCTCACCACGCACTGGGGGAGAGAGGGGTGTGAATGTGTGTCTGTTGCCCGGCCAGGAGCTGTGCCCGGTTTGATTTTCCCTCCTGGAGGACTGTGTTGGTTATCTAGGAACATTCGGTAGGTTGGTGGGGAGAAACCTCTTTATCTTCTTCTGGGAGAGGGATCTGATTAATGCATTCTTTGTCTCCATCTGCTGCCTTTTGAACACCTTTCCGGGGCTCTGCCTGATCCTTCAGGCTCCTGGCTTATGGAGGCCGCTGCGTGCGGTTGGAGGAGGGACATACAGAGAGGGGCTGGAAGGACTCCATGGTGACCCCTGCTGCCCAGTTCCTGGCTGGCCACCTGCTACCTCACAGTCAGGTGGTTTTCTTTGACAAAATGCAAATCAGGTTCTCCTGGACACACATCTTGAGATAAGGATTCAAGTGCCAGTGGGTTTTTTGTGCTGTGTCGTCGCTGCTGCCCTGCAACGGTGACACTAAAAACGACAAGACGCGCTATTGAGGGTCCGGGAAAAGCCGGAACCGGACCCCTCACTGCCAAAAGCGGCCGCGTTTCTCCGCTGCTCCTGATCCCATTGGTCTAAGCTTTCCTCCGCCGCTTCTCTAGCCCTAATTTCCGCCACCCTTCTTCCCATATTTCTTCTTCTCGTACTTTCCCCGTCTCCCTTCCGGCACCCTTCTTCCCGCCCCCGTCTTTCTCATCCGTCTGTGTTTGTTTGTCTGTCTGCCTGTTTGCCCGTCCATCCTCTGTGGCTGTTGTCCGTCCGGCTTTTACCGGCTACTTTTATATCGTTCTCCACCAATCACTTCTCCCCGTGGGTCCACTTGGCGCTACGTGATAGGCCAGTAATCGCAGCAGAGGTGTTAGCCTATCCCTGTGACTTCCTGTTTACCTGCTGGTGACACCAGCTCCGCCTCCTGGCCCTGGGCCAGCCGCATCGTGCAACGGCCCCTTCCAATCCCAGGAGTGGCTTTAGCACCCCGCTCCCCACAGTGCTGGGTCCTGGTAAACATGAACAGGAGACAAATGGGACAAGGCAAGGAGTGCAGCCACCAGGGATATGCACTGCAGGCTCATGACCACTGTGGCCAACCAGAGCCTCACCCCTCTTTGGTCATGCCAGGAGCCTCCAAGCTCCAAGCTGGGAGCATGATCTGAGGGGTTTCTGCATCCGTTTCTGCCATGACATTAATGCCATCTGCCTGGCTTCCCTGTAGCAAAGCTGGGAAACACCTGAGCAGTCTGCCCTCCAGGACCCTTGCCTTAAACCATGCAGCTGTTTCTAGAACAATATTCTGTGGTTCTGTCCCTGCCCGCAGCAGATCTTCCTAACTTGGGACCCTGAAGAACCCAGGGACAGTCCTTGTGGGCCAGCGTGTATCAGCAGGCCTTGGAGCCGGGGAGGGGCTGAGTATCTAACAGAAAACAGCTCCCACCTCTTTCTGCAGGCTGGTCTCTGCCTGGTCGCCTGTTTACCATGTGTTTCCTGTTCCTTGAGCTTTGCCCCGGGACCCTGAGTGCAGGGCTTGGCTTCATGTGGACCTTGGCACCCTGCCTGTGGGTGACCCCATCTGCTGCCAAGGCTGCCTTAGACCACAAAGACCCTGGGAGAGAACAGGTGGCGAGGCCCTGGGGACTGCAAGGCCTTCCTAGGTCAGCGGGGTTTCTCTGCCCCCAGGTACTCCTGGCTCCCCTTCTTGCATCCTCCTGGGCATCTTGCTGGGCTGCCCAAGGCTGTCTGTCTCTCCCAGCATCTATTGGAAACTGTTCTCGCCTTGATCAGATCAAAGCACGCATCCGTGTGTGCCACACACATCTGCCTCCCATTTCAGGGGGAGAAGTTATGTTGATTTAATTCCAGATATTTTATTTCTCATCTGCTCTCCAGAATTCTCTTGTCATTTATAATAATGATCTATTTCATTCTTTACTGTTTCCTTTTTAACTTCCTACTATGTGAAATGCAGTAGAGGATCCTGGAAAGAACCAGTCCTTCCCCACAACACTCAACATCCCTCTGTTACTGTGCACACTGTTGTTTTGCTGGAGTATTTTGGAGCAAATCGCATCCTGCTGTGGGTTTTCCCTCCCCCCCCCAAGTTTTATTTTTTTGGGGAAAAAAAGAGCTATTCAGTTATTGATTTGAAAGGGTTGGAAAATAGAGATCTACTGGTGCACTTCCCAAATGGCTACAACAGCCAGAACGGGGTTGGATCATGCCAGGAGTCTGGAGCTCCACTGGTTGCCTTTGGGCGCTGCAGGCTGAAGTTACATGGTTTGGACAAGACAACCACAGTCGTGTGCTGCGCCCTCTCTCCCCCCACTGCATCATAGCAAGGCTTTCATGCTGTCGACCTGTTCTTACTGGAGCAGTTAAGTTGGTGACTTGGTGCCCAGCATCTGGGCTGTGGTTTCTGTGTTTACCTTTGTAATTGGTGAGTATCTCACGGGGAGAGGTACTTTGACACCACGGAAACATCTTGTTGATGTCACACTCTGACCACCAACTTTGGCAGATGTCAGCAGGTCCCGCCTGCAGTGCTGATTCTGTGCTGCTGGCTGAATGGTGAGTTTTCTGCTCTCATCACTGTTTTACACTTATTCATTGGCATTCCAGAAGGAAGGGCCAGAGAGGCACAGTGACGTGCCCAGGCTCACACAGCAAAGTGACAGACTTGGCCTGGGGTTCAGCAGGCTCTGGATATGTTCCTTTTCTCCGCAGCATGAGACAGGGACTCTGCCATGGCAGCATCTCACAGCCCAGGCAGCGGTGGGGTTGTAGCTTCTGTCCAGCTTACCCAGTCTAAGGTGTGTCCAGAAGCAGCCTGGCAATGCTGAGCTGATCTCAAGGATGACATGGAACCTGCTCTAGTTGATAGACAAATAAGCAAGTATTTTCAAGCACTTACTAAACCTTGTTTTTTGTCCTCCCTGCTAACACCTCATTGGCTAAAGCTAGTTTTGTGACCAAGTACCAAGTCAGGGGAAGGGTACATGTCACCCAGGGAAGTGACGGGAAGGGAGAGAATGCTGGGCACAGTGGCTGTGAGGACTCAGAACCAGGCACAGTGACACAGTGACCCACTGATTTTCAAGGTGGCTTGTGATGACTCCAGAGACACTGCCAACTCCTTTCTCTTTTCCTTCTCTCCCTGTGCAGGCTTCTGCTGGCCCCTGGAGAGGCCCTGAGAATGAGCGCAGCTCACCCAGCCTGGGGCACTTTCCAGTGGCTGCTGTCCCTCTAGGGCCCCGCCGCTGTGCTGGCGGGCAGCAGTAGGATGCACCTGTCAGCGGTGTTCAACGCCCTCCTGGTGTCGGTGCTGGCAGCCGTCCTGTGGAAGCATGTGCGGCTGCGCGAGCATGCAGCCACTCTGGAGGAGGAGCTGGCCCTCGGGCAGCAGGCCCTGGAGCCGGCCTCGTCGCTGAGGATCGACTACCCGCAGGCCCTGCAGAGCCTGATGGAGGGTGGCACCCACATGGTGTGCACGGGACGCACGCACACCGACCGCCTCTGCCGCTTCCAGTGGCTCTGCTACTCCAACGAGGCTGAGGAGTTCATCTTCTTCCACGGCAACAACTCCGTCATGCTCCCCAACCTGGGCTCGCGGCGCTTCCAGCCGGCCCTGCTTGACCTCTCCACCGTGGAGGACCACAACACCCAGTACTTCAACTTCGTGGAGCTGCCTGCTGCGGCTCTGCGCTTCATGCCCAAGCCGGTGTTCGTGCCCGACGTGGCACTCATCGCCAACCGCTTCAATCCCGACAACCTCATGCACGTCTTCCACGACGACCTATTGCCGCTCTTCTACACGCTGCGCCAGTTCCCTGGCCTGGCCCACGAGGCTCGGCTCTTCTTCATGGAGGGCTGGGGCGAGGGCGCCCACTTTGACCTCTACAAGCTCCTCAGCCCCAAGCAGCCGCTGCTGCGGGCTCAGCTGAAGACCCTCGGCCGGCTGCTCTGCTTCTCCCATGCTTTTGTGGGTCTCTCCAAGGTCACCACTTGGTACCAGTATGGCTTTGTCCAGCCTCAAGGCCCCAAGGCCAACATCCTCGTGTCAGGCAACGAGATCCGGCAGTTCGCACAGTTCATGATGGAAAAACTGAACGTGAGCCACTCGGGGGCCCCCCTGGGTGAGGAGTACATTCTGGTCTTCAGCCGTACGCACAACAGGCTCATTCTGAATGAGGCAGAGCTGCTGCTGGAGCTGGCCCAGGAGTTCCAGATGAAGACGGTGACCGTGTCGCTGGAGGACCATACCTTTGCAGACATCGTGCGGCTGGTCAGCAACGCCTCCATGCTGGTCAGCATGCACGGGGCGCAGCTGGTCACTTCCCTCTTCCTGCCCCGTGGAGCAACCGTGGTCGAGCTCTTCCCGTACGGCGTCAATCCCGACCACTACACGCCCTACAAGACGCTGGCCCTGCTGCCCGGCATGGACCTGCAGTACGTCGCCTGGCGTAACATGATGCCCGAGAACACGGTCACGCACCCCGAGAGGCCCTGGGACCAGGGAGGCATCGCCCACCTGGACCGAGCTGAACAGGCCCGCATCCTGCAGAGCCGCGAGGTCCCACGGCACCTCTGCTGCCGGAACCCCGAGTGGCTCTTCCGGATCTATCAGGACACTAGGGTGGACATCCCATCCCTCATGCAAACCATACGGCGTGTGGTGAAGGGCCAGCCAGGGCCACGGAGGCAGAAGTGGACAGTGAGCCTGTACCCGGGCAAGGTGCGGGAGGCGCGGTGCCAGGCGTCCGTGCAGGGCGCCTCCGAGGCCCGCCTCACTGTGTCCTGGCAGATCCCCTGGAACCTCAAGTACCTGAAGGTGAGGGAGGTCAAGTACGAGGTGTGGCTGCAGGAGCAGGGCGAGAACAGCTACGTGCCTTACATCCTGAGCCTGCAGAACCACACCTTCACGGAGAACATCAAGCCCTTCACCACCTATCTGGTGTGGGTCCGCTGCATCTTCAACAAGCTCCTCCTGGGGCCCTTTGCGGATGTGCTGGTGTGCAGCACATAGCAGGCAGCCCCACTGCCCCGTGGCCCTGGACCCGCGCTCCCTGCTGCCACCATCGTCGCCGTAACTGTTGGCAATTACTCCTCTATTTATTGGGCAGGCCTGCTCCAGGCCAACGCCTACGTGTTGTCTTACTGCATCTGGGGGTGGTGGTCACGGCACTGCTCTTTGAACTGGAGAGTGGGCCCCTCCTTCTGTCGTCTGCTAATCACCCGTACAGGAGAAGGTCCTGGAAGTGGTGAGGACTGAGGGGAGGAGGAGGAAGGGAGGTCAGATCCGGGGATGCTGTCTGGCTCAGTGCCCCGCTGCATCCTCCTGGTCAGTGTCCAGGTTTCCGGAAGCTGAGGAATGCTGTGACTGGTCGGCTGGCTGGTTCGCTGTGCCGGTAGCACAATGTGAAGGTGTCTGTGGGGGCATTCATTAAATGGTGATAAACGCCTCGGCCCAGCACTTTTATTGGACGCTGGGAAGGGGGCTGCTGCCCCTTAGCCAGGGGCCCTGGGATCCTGGGTGTTTAGCCATGTGACAGCAGGAATGTGGCCAGGGTTGGGAAGCAAGCAGGCTGGGGAAGTCTCCTCCTGGCTGGCCAGGTTCTATTTCCATCGAGGTGGGAGAAACGCCTGGAAGGGGCTCAGCGGAGAGCTGCGGTGAGAAAGGATCTACCCACTCACCAGGGGTCTCCCCTATCCTCAGCTGGACGCCAGGCCTCAGTGTCCCTGTGCAGGTTGAAGACAGGCTGCCTGGGGCTGGCTGGGCTGCGTCTCTTCCACAGGAAGAATCCTCGCATAGGACCTTCCCTTCCAGGGACCGCTCAAGGCTCCACCCCACCGTTCTGTGGGAGTGCAAGTGTCCTAATGAGGGCAGCGGACACAAGAGCCAGGAACTCAGATGTCCAAGAAGCGCCCCGCTCTTAGGATGCCCTCACACACATCCTCCCCAGCTGCGACTCAGTGGGTCCAGCACAGGTGGTGGCAAAGCCCTATGTCCTGCCTTCCACAGGGCCTGTTATACAGTGATCTTTTTGACAAATGTGGCTGGCAAGACAAGAAGTTAAAGATTCATATCTCCACACCCACCGGCTTTAAGTAACTCTGTCCTCATTTATACTGCCCACCTAGAAGCACCCTTGACCCCTCAGAGCTGACCTGGGGCGTGCCTGTAACCGACCCTGCACTCCACCTCCTGCTCTCCTGTACCCGCCTTCCCCGGAAATTCTTTACTAACTCATTCCTGCAGTGGAATCTTGGATCCTAACACAAGGTCATCGGTGCCAAGTTAGACTTTCCCTTAGCATCTAGTTATTCCAGAGGCCCACACCCATCCCCTGGGAGCCAGGAATGATTCAGAATTCTGAAGCTTTAAATCTGGAGAGGCAATAACACACACATGTGGTGTATCATGCAACACCCAACGCCAGACACCCTGGTATTTCAGGCAAGAACCCATGCGACTGTTCTCACTGACTGGGGCCCAAGGTTTGTCAGCAAATGTCCAGAAAGCCTTCTGATTTTCACAACTTTGGGGGTGGCTGGGACAGCACCTGAGGGTTATGAACCTCCTTAGCCCCTCTGCCTAGGAAATGCATGGTCTCCCTTAGTCAGATGGTGCGGGAGGAGGGTCTGGCCTGGGTGAAGCAGCAGGGAGGTGGCAGCAACAGTGGCCTGGGCAGCACCATTCAGATGGCCTCTTTCTCCAGGTGACACAAAAGCCTCCCCCACACGCTGCACTGCCCTGCACACGCGCGCACACACAGAGCCCACGGGAACATCTGGGTTCACATCCCGGCTGTGCTTGGCCTGAACCCGGCCATCGCGCTCATTCCAGAGGTAATGGCTCTGGAGACGGACCAAGCACAGAGACACAGAGGGTTGTTTTTGTTTTGTTTTGTTTTCCCTAAAGGATAAAAAGAGCTCAAGTTTCTAGTTTGCAGGAAAGAACTCTACCAATAGACAAAGCTGACTTTAACAAAGAGCCAGGTGCTTGTGGATATTCTTGGCTGAGAGTGGCAGCTTGCTGCTCCCCAGCCCAGGCATCTGGCCCTGGCTTGTCTTCTGCTCTGAATCCAAAGGGACTGGCAAGAGAAGGGCTGTCAGAGCGGTCAGGGAGGCGGCCCTAGACCTCGCGGGCAGGGGTAACGGCCCTGGGGACAAGAACGACTAGCACCATCCTAACCTGGGCGTGAAGTCTCATCCTTCCACCTACAAGCTGGGCAACCTTGGGCAAGTTACTCAACCCCCTCCGGACCCCTCTGTAAAATGGAGAGGATAACCATCCAGCTGCCACACGAAGGGGCTGAATGTCTGCGTCCACGGAGATCCTCTCGCAGGGGCCCTGCATCCTCCAAGGGAGAAGAGGTCACTGAGGAGGGCGGTGTCGGCCAGCCCCTCCCTGCAGCTCCACCTGCACCACCCAGTGGGGTCCACACTGAATACACCGTCCCTTTCCTGCTTCTGATGGTAGATGCTGGGCTTGTGGCTAATTACAGTGCAGATCCCGAACACCTGAAAATTCCAGAAATGGGTTTTGAGGTGGCCAGCCCTACTGGGAATTCTAAACCCAATAAAAACTAGGTCCACTCACCTGGCCAATAGGGATTACAGCAAGTAAGATACAAAGACTGAATTGACAAAGTATGGCTCCATCATTCTTAAATTTATATGTAGCGTGAGCGTAAATTGCACTGTTTTATATACATCTATTACTTACAATTTGTTCTTACTATGTGTTACATTTTCTAGTTTTTAAACCAAAAAGCATAACCAAGAGAGAATCTAAAATGTAGGGGCTGGCATGGTGGCATAACAGGCTAATCTTCCACCTGTGGTGCTGGCATCCCATAGGAGCACTGGTTTGAGTTCTGACTGCTGCACTTCTGATCCAGCTGCCTGCTAATGTGGCTGAGAAAGCAGCAGAGGATGGCCAAAGGACTTGGGTCCCTGCATCCACATGGGAGCCTCGAAAGAAGCTCCTTGCTCCTGGCTCCAGATCAGCTCAGCACTGGCCATTGGAGTCATTTGGGAGTGAACAATCAGACGGAAGCTGTCTGTCTCTCCCTCTATGTAACTCTTTCAAGTAAAATAATTTTAAGAAAAATTTTAAATATAAGCCCTACGGACAAATCCATAGCGTTTGTTTTTAAGGTAAATGTATTTGCCTTTCAAAGTGACAGATCTAGCCTCTGCTTCAGTTCCCAAATGGCCGTGACAGTGAGGGCCGGGCCAGGCCGATGCCAGGAGCCAAGGGATGTGGCTGGGTTTCCCCCATGGGTGCAGGGGCCCAGGCCCTTGGGCCATCTTCTGCTGCTTTCCCAGCTGCATTAGCAGGGAGCTGGAGGAACCAGAGCTGGAAGCAAGGTGGGCAGCCGCCATTGCCTGTGGGGATTTGCTTGACGGCACCACAGTGCTCCATCGCCCTTCCCGGTTCATTTCTGAGCCCCCAGACTGTGTGCAACCACAAGTGCAATTCTTGGAAGACCCTTTGTCAGGTTTGTCTCGTGAATGGGTAATGCCTCAGGTATGCACACATGACACCCTGCGTAGTTCAGCATGCAGAGTGGTCTAGCTTTGCCTTCACCCATGGGATACACACCCAGACAGGCTCTGGAGCGATTTTCACAACAGCATCACATGCATTTATTGATGCAAGGAACCAGCCAGAGCTGAGGAGGCCAAAAAGAATGCATCAAGACTGAAAACGCAGCACCATCACCATGTCCTAGGTGGCATCCGTGTGGCCCTCTGGTTTCTGGCTTTCCTGCTTGTCCTCAGGATTGGTGAGCACAGGAACACGCAGCCCTCCGAGGGACAGCCACCAACCTGGGGTTGTGACCCTCGCCTGGCTGTGCGGGTTCATAGGTCCCTGTCCCTGAAGAGTGTGAGGTTGTGCTTCTGGATGTGTGCCAACAGGGCCTGCCCTCGGCGCTCCAGCGTCTGCAGGACCTTCTTCAGCCCGGGGCCCCTGCCGTGGCTCTCCCAGAACACTGGATCCACCTGCAGTGACCTGAGCAGTAGACTTGAGAGACAGCCTGATGCCAGAACCTTCACGGCAGACTCGGGGAACCTGCAGCGAGGCCCCAGAGCCACAGGGACACAAAGGAAAAGCAGGAGTGCTCTCAGACTGCCAGCGGGCAGCCCAGCGGAGTTCCCTCATAGAGTCGGCTGGCCTGCAAAGCCCCAGGCCTGCACCTGCCCGCACTCCCGTGGGCCTGCTGTGCTGTGAGCACACAGGTGGATCAACTGCTGCTCCAGGCCCGTGAAAGCTGAGCAGCCTAACAAGAGTGCACCATGAAGGGTGGTACTCCAGGCCAGCTCTCTCACCCAGAGCAAGAGAAGAGCCAGCCTTGCTACACTGCAGCATCCCCTCAGCTTTCCCAGGGCTCCCCAACATGCTCCCAGAGCTCAGATCCTACAGCTTTTGTCTGCCACCAGGCTCCCAGACCCTCTGGACTTCAGCAAGATCCTCAAGCCTTGGTCCCCTGAATATGCACCCAACCCCTTGGAGCCTTACCCGTTGATGCCCTCCAGCAGCCGGAAGTTCAGCTTGCCCTCGGGGTGCTGCAGGTTGGCAGCATTATCAATGTAGACCAGACGAGATGGGTTGCTGCGCCGGACCTCAGAGAAGGGAGATGGACAGACGGGGGATGAGAGTACACCAGAGCGAATGCCTACAGACCCTGTCGGTGCCAAGGGGCACAGCTGTCAGTCCCACAGTGCATCCTGCCGTAACTGAGGACTTATCCTCCACAAGGCATCATCTCTGTGAGTCCTTCCAGCAACCCCAGGGACTGTGAGTCCTTCCCAGCAACCCCAGGGACTGTGAGTCCTCCCAGCAAACCCAGGGACTGAGTCCTTCCCAGCAACCCCAGGGACTGTGAGTCCTTCCCAGCAACCCCAGGGACTGTGAGTCCTTCCCAGCAACCCCAGGGACTGTGAGTCCTCGCAGCAACCCATGCAGCTAAGCCACACACACACCCTGGCCCATTTCCAGACAGAGGAACTGACTCCTGACTCCTGTGGGAGTGGCCTGAAGGGGTGAGGAGTGCAGGTGGGGGCCGGCAGGTGCAAGAGGGGCTTGTTCATGGGGCCATGGACCCCATGGCATAGTGGGCACATGCACTCTTACCCACAGGCCCAATCAACTCCCTGTGCCACCTGTCCCTGAGCATCCCTGGGAGCACACAGCAGGGTCCTGCATCCTCAGACAGCAGTGACTACTCTATTTCCACAGCAGAGTTGAGTGCCCCCGGAAATCCTCAAAACTAAAATCAACAGCTGAGAAGTTTCACATCTTCAAAGTTAGGGTGTGGGTGGGAAAAGAAGGCCCGCTCCACCAGCCCCACTTCATGCACACTCCAGCCCCTCCGTTCCCTAAAATCCCAGGTAATTTCCCAGAATTCCTGCCAGCAACTAGGTTCTCATCATGCACTTCTGTCCCCAGGACCCCAGATGCCTCTCTCTCTCTGCTTTTCATTTGGAGACCTGGTTCTCAAACTCTGCTTCCAGGGTCTCGGGGGCCCAGGGGAACCCAGGAGACCCCCGGAGTCTCTCTGGAGCAGTGGAGACAGCAAGAACAGGGTTTTAGCCCCACCCAACCCCAACTACATTCTACTTCATTCTCAAAGCTACACTTCATCAGTTGTCTATGTCGTAGCTTCCCGGAGATATTACTCAAAGAAACAGTTCTGTTGCTAAAAAGAACCCTAATATCTGACCCTCCCTGAAACTCGCAGACAATGTCCTTGCCCTTGCAGGAGACCGGAAGGCCACACTGGACAGGAGACGGCGGCGTGGAGGAGACATACCAGGACGTGGACGAGCCGCAGCTCGGCCGGATTCCGGCATTTCTCTCGGAGCCGCTCTTGCACACAGGGGTCTGAGGGCTCAGGCTCGAAGCCGCAGCAGTAGCGATCCAGGCGGTCGTGCACCTGTGGAGACACCTGGCTTCTAAGGACCTGGGACAGTGCCTGCCCCCACTTGTCCCAGCACTGAGGCCACCTGCTGACTCCAGGAGTGATGGAGGGAGCACAGCCAAATTAGGGCACCAGCTAATGGCCAGAGGAAGGTGAGGATGTGAAGACCCCTGAACCTGCTCCCCACACCAGGAACAGGAGGGAGGAAAGCAAATCAGGGCTCAGTGAGGAAGGGATAGCAAGCAGTCAGATAGGCCAGGCTGTCCCCAGCCTGACCACTGATAACAATCCTGACCAGGGCAGAGCTAAGGGCAGAGCCCCACAGCGGGTCACTGAAGCCTCCCGGCCCACAGTGCATTTTCAATCTCCAAATCTTTTACTTCTCCATAGCATCCTTGAACTGGGCAAGGAGCTCTCATGCACCCAGTCCTTGGCCAAGAGCCATTTCTGGGGCTGCCAGCACAGTGGCTCAGTTCTCAAGCTTTGTCTACAAAAGACTGGAGGGGTCTATGTTGTATGCTATGGAGGCCTTGTGGTGTCTGCTGCAATGACTCCACAGTGCCCCATTAGTGCACACTGGGTATATGACAGACTACATGAAAACAGATGTGCATGGCTCTATCCCAGCAACTCCGCATGTTCTGAAATTTGGACTTCATGTTATCTTTAGATGTCAAAAATATTGATTTCTAAAAATCATTCAGAAACGTCAGAACCATTCTTAGCTCCCAGGCTGAACAAAAGCCGGTAAAGGGTACATGTGTCTGACCCTTGGTCTGGAGCACACATGGGCCTGAGGAGAACCCAGCTATGTGACCTCACTATGCCTCATTTTTTTCTCATCAACAAAATGGGGTGATGATGCTCCCTGGGGGCTGTGCTGAGTACCCCAGTCTGAGGATATGCAAGGGAGCTTCAAAAAGTTCATGGAAAAATGGACTTGAAGAAGAGTTTATTAAGGGGCAAAACATCTTTTGAAATCCACACAGCTGTTTCAGGACACGCCTTTTTCATAAATGCTTTGAAGAATCTTCGTAGGTCAAGCAGCGGGACATGATGGTTCTGGAGAATTCTCAGTTGTCTACGGCCCTGGGAAGGACAGGTCCAGGGACCCTGAGGACCTCCTGGCCTCACCCTGGCTCAGCCAGCTCTGCCGGCCTAAGACCCAGGGTCAGACCTAGAACGCAGTTGACAATGGCCCAACCATGCCTGTGAGAGAGAAATCCACCTGCTGGTCTCTATTTGGCTGAGAGCAAACGCCGCAACAATAACAGGAACCACCACAGCAGCTCTGTGTTTGCAGAGCCTGCAGAAGCCCCTCCCAGACTCTGCGCTGGACGCCTCGGTGCAGCAGGCTCCTGCCGCCAGAAGGCATCACCCAGAACCTTGGCCCTGAGGAGACACACGGCACCAGCCACGCCAGCTCCCCTCCCACTGGAATGTTAAGCAGGAAGGGCTTGTCCGGGGGAGTTGCCACTCTGATTATTTTGCTGTGCTGTCTGGATTTTTTTTCCCCCACTGAATAGAAACTTAAGTTTGAACAACGGCAGACTAGCAGCCAACTGAAACCAGGTTTCAGTTCCATCTCCACATTCCTTTAGGATTTGATTCTTTTTTCCCCTTTTAGAAAAACAGGGGGGGAAATGAGGAGTCATCAAGAAAAAAATGATCATTGCTGGCAGTTTTGGTTCACATGATGATGTGAACTGCAGTTCAATTCCAGAAGAGCTGCCCATTGTCCTTGGTGACCCCAATCCACAGTGAAGGGACCCTTCACCAACCTGGGGGTGGCCACAAGCCAGGCCCGTCAATGGCAGCAATAGGGGGTCTTGGCCGATGCTACAGCATATTATTCTCCTCAACTCAGGAGTTTAACTTTTAAATTTTTATATTAATAGGTCTAAGAAGGTGAAAACTTAATCCAACTTTGGTGTTTAGCAGTGGAGCATTTGGGAAGTGATCAGATCTGTTTAGGTCCTCAGAGTGGAACCCTTGGGCTGCCACACAAGGCCACTCATGTTCTCCCCACCTCTTGACATGTAATGCCCAGCGCCGCCTCGCAGCTCTGCCAACCAGAAGACCATCAGCAGGGCAGGCATCTGGCCCAGGAGCTATTTGGGTTAGGACTAGCACGGTGACATGGTGGATAAAGTTACCACCTGCAATGCCACCATACCATATGGAAACCAGTTAGAGTCCCAGCTGCTCCATTTCTGCTCCGGTTCCCTGCTAGATGCACTTGGGAAAGCAGCAGAAGATAGCCCAAGAGCTTGGGTCCCTGTACCCAAGTGGGAGACATGGAAGAAACTCCCAGCTCCAACTGTTGCAGTCATTTGGGCAGTGAACCAGTGGATGGAAGAGCTCTGTCTCTCCCCTCCCATCCTCTCCCTTGCCTGCTAACTCTGCCTTTAAATAAATAAATAAATAAGCAAGCAAGCTATTGAAGATGCTCACATCCCATATGAGAGCGCCTAGGCTCCACTTCTGATCCAGCATCCTGTTAATGCATTGATACAGGGATACAGCAAATGATTGCCAAGTGCTCGGGCACACCCTACTCGCATGGGAAACAGGGACTGGGTCCCAGGCTCTCGGCTTCAGACTCACAACAGCAGCCTTGGATGTGTGGGCTCTAGGGATGAAGCAGAGTACAAGAGATCTCTGCCCTTGCTGCTCTGCTTTCTACATTGAAAAAAGAAAAGAAAAGAAATGCAGAAATTTTTTGAAGTGCATATTCTTTAAAAAAAAAAAAAGAGGTTAAACTGGTAGACACCCCTAGTCTTGAAGTTGAACCTCCAGAACCACTGGCCAGAAGAAACCTCTTTTCCTTCTAAAGTTAGTCTGCCTTAGACATTTGGTTATAGTAAAGAAATCCTGATTGTAACAGCTGACAGGACTCCCTGCCTGGGAGTAGGAGGGCTGCGGAGTGGCTGGAGGCAGCGAGAGGTGGGGCTCCTCCCTCTACCAGGGCATCAATATTGACATTATTCTCAAGGCACCAGAACATGCCATGGGATGGGAGTGCAAGAAGAGACTCCATTTCCAATGGCCAGGAGAAAATGAAATGCACTGGAATAAAAAACCAACAGGAAGGAGAAGATCCAGGTGACAGAAGCGTCCAAAGATTGTCAGGAACATCGAGTAAGTGGAGAGCTGCGTTCTGCTTTTGGCTTCTCTGACTGTATTCTGGGGTGCAAATTCTCACATGTTATGTGAAAGTCAAGTTAGAAAGATACAGATACAGTGGGGCATCCTCCATCTGTTGTTTCACTTTCCAAATGACTGGAACATCCAGGGCAGGACCAGGTAAAGCCAGGAGCTTCACCTGGTCGCAGAAATGGCTACAAGTGAGAGGAAGTCGACACCCTTGGGAGTGGTCTACACTGGTGACGGCTGGAAATCAGATGGCGATACCCCAGTTTCCTTGCCCACTGGGTGGGACAGTTCCAGGGCCCCCAGAGGCCTCAGCAGGGTGGAGCCTCAGCTGTCCACAGCAGTGTTTGATACACAGTCTCAGGAAAACAAGGGCTTACATATAAAGAAAAGAGAGATATTCCATGCCCGCCTGCCCAGGGTGGGTTGTGTGCAGGGTGTGCACCGGGGCTCCTGCGCAAGCACCCACGTCCTACAGCCTGCTGAGAAACGTCAAGCGCCATGTCAGCCAGACACGGATGTTGGACTTGACTGGTGCTCAGCAGAGCGAGGAAGAGGTGGCACAAGCCCAGCACTGTGCCGTCCAACCACACAACCCCCCTGTGTTTACTTGGCTGCAAAACCCCTTCCAATCCCACGCTGCCACCCACAGAGAGGAAGAGAGTGGCTCTGTGTGGAGCAGTAGGCACCATGAGCATGCCAGCCGCCGGGCCGCTTCGCAGGCAGCCGTTTCAGATCTCTTGGCCTCTGGGCTTCCGGGCCTGCAGCCCCTTTTCCGGCCCTCACTCGGGGCCAGCTGAGGCCGTGACTCCACCGAAGAGAGGCAGTGCTTTCCATGAATGACTGTGCAGGAGTCATTCGTGTGCAGGAGCCACAGAAGATCAGTGTTACTCTCAGGCTGTAGGCTGGGCTGCCCCCGAGACAGACCCTGGGACCAGGGTTCAACTAAAAGTAGCCTATTTGTGAGCTGGCAACAAGAAACCCCAGCGGGGGAAGTGAGGCCGGAGGGCCAGCTGTCAGCACCGCAGGTGAGACATGCGCTGGGCACCCCAGGTATCCCCCAGCTCCCACCAGTCACTGCCACATACTCCCCTATGGGTTGCACAGCCAACCTCCCCAGCTTCAGCACTCAGGGGCCCACAATGTAGGGGACCTCCTCCTGCCTCACCTGTGTGCTCAGTCACCCTACCTGAAGGGCATTACTTCCCGGGTATGTCCAGTGTGTCACACAGGGGACACAGCAGGCTCCAGGACCAGGGCTAAGCCACCGTGCAATAGCTAGGCCCGGGGAGATGAGGTTGGGATGTCTAGTCCCATTATAGAAGCTGAGAGTGGCAAAGGAACGTGTTCAGTGGTGGGCGGGGTCTGGGCGTGGGGAGGCCAGCAACAGGTCTATCTGAAATCAAAGCCGTCACAAAGCAGCCATGAGGACACAGACTGGAGGGGCTGGAAAGACTCCAGCCATCAGCCGCTCAGGGACTGGAAACAAACACATCAAAGGGCAGACAGTGAGGGCCAAGAGGTGGAGGCGGGGAGCAGGTGGGTATCAGATAGTAAGAAGGTGGGGCCTGAGCCTGAAACAGACTGGCAGCTTCTTGGCTGGCAGGCAGCATCCAGGTTCAGGCTGAACACTGCGGGGAAGGCCCGGGGGCTGCAGGTCCAAAGGAAGCAGGATTTTTATGGCAAGTTGAAGTACTACACACACACACACCCTGTGTAGACCAAGCACAGCATGCCAACCCCAACTGCGTGGCTGCAGCCCGCGGCCTGGTTTACTCGGCTACTGTTGGTAAACCCAAAGGCCTCTTTCTTTGGCACGGCTTTCCAGAGAAGCAAGGGCTTGGCCCACTGGGCTGTTTGCCTTTATTTCTGGCTGTTTCCACACATGTGCCTCTGTGGCTACCATCAAGCTCACAGGCACAGGAACTGCCACCCAGACATGATTGGCCAGCTAGGGAAGAGTCACGCCACGCCGAGTCTTGAAGCAAGCTTCTCCCTGGGGTCTCCATGTCCTCGGCAGCCCCAGGGGACTGGCTTTCCCTCCCTCCTCCTTGCACCAGCAACCCCTTCCTCCCTCTTGCCTGTTCTCTTTGTCTCTCTCTCCTCACTCTCGTTTTCCTAAACTACAGTAGCATCTTGAACCAGTCCTCCAGGAGCAGAGGGAAGCCTGGATGGTACGGTCTGTTGATTTCTGCAGCATGGATATTTGTACTCTGACCCCCCACATGCTACCAATGTGCTGACTATGGAGTCGGCAAGAGCTACGCAGCATCATGCGGCTGCACCATTATATGATATTACACAGTCACCTGCAACATTCACTATCTACATACAGGGGACAGAAGTAACAGGAAGATTCCCAGAAAGCACCGGCTCTGAGCACACATCACCTTTCTTCCTGATATAACTATTGTTAGTTGCTATTGTTTTGTATCTAACAGTGCTTGTGATTCACAACCAGCTCATGATGTTCCTACAATCAGAAATCCAGCAGTCAGCTCTCATGAGCTGAGAAGAGCCAGCTCCAGCACACCAGTAGATGAACAGGTACTTGGTGACCAGAAGACCAGGTCTGGGGAAGGAGAGGAGGCATACAGCCGTCCTAGGGTGAACACGAGGCCTCTACCTCTGTACCCCTCCATCCCACACCTCATCCCACCATCCCCACCCCATCTACCTGCAGCAGGAAGTCGAAGAGTGCCAAGCGTGCCCACTCATTATGGTGGATGCCCAGGCAAGGGGCCTGGCCTGGCCTGCCACAGCCATGTGCAAGCAGGGTCTGGTACTGCAGCCAACCCAAAGCCAGTGAGTTCTGGTCCTCATCCGGGTCCCCCAGGTGCTGAATGTCAGGGGCCCACCAGATGACTGGTCTGGCACCTCCGTCAGTGTAGCGGTAGGGCAGCAGGGGGCTGTGGAAGCGGCGGGCCAGAGCAGGCAGGCTCCGGCACAGACCCAGTACACGGTCCAGGTGGAAGCTCAAGACCTCGGGCAGGTCCCCGGGCCTCTTGATCAGGCCACAGAATCCCTGGGAGCAGAGATGGCCAAGCCTGGGAGGGGCCGGGTCCCCCGGCAGGGCATCCTCCATGGAGAAGCCGACCTGCAGCACCTGCCCGTGGCCGGGGACCCTGGCTTTGCCCACCACCTGCCCCTGGGCCAATAAGCGAAGGATCTGCATATCACTTTCTGTGAGCCACGGAGGCACCTGCCCACTGCTCACGGAGCCGGTTGGCATCCCCGATGGCTTGGCGTCACACCACACAGTCGCTTGCCACTCCCCAGTGGAGCCGGGCCACTCCTGAGCCCCTGAGGCTGGGGCAGGACCTGCTGCTGTCTGTTGCCCACCAGTAGAGAGTCTGTCCTTAGCTCCTGGGGGTTTCTTGCCTTGTGCTGCCTGGGGTTGGACGGTCAGTCCAGCATTAGCTTCCCAGGCCTGAAAAGCAGCTGCCACAGTGCCGTCTGTAGTCAGTGGGCCCACCTGGATGCTGGCTCCTCCTGGTCCATCCCAGATGTGGTCTCTGTCCTGGGGGTGACCTGGGTCCTGGGCTCCAGGATCACTGACCTCATCCTCCCTCGGGGGCACGAGACGTGGGGCAGTGAGTCTCATATCTGCCGAGCCAACATCCCTCTTGAGCCTGCCTGCACGTCTGCTGTCGCCTCCAGGAGGCTGCCCATCTCTGTCTGCTCGCCGTGCTCTGTGCTCTTGCTCCTCCGCACACACTGAGCTGGATTTCCTGGACAAAACCCGTCCTCTCCAGAGTCCCGGAGGTCTCGCCCGCTGCCTCTGGCTGGAGCTCGGAGCCTGCCACAGAGGGTGGATGGGGCTGCTGGCTATGTCTTGGGGTTCTGTGGAGCCAGGGTCTGGGCCGGCAGCTGGATGCAGTGGGGGGAAGCGGGTGACAGCCACCGCAGACAGGGTCATCAAGAGGCAGAATGCCAACACCGACCGCCTCTTGCCACGCAGCCTCCTCCAGGGCCAAGGTGCCTGGGGACAGGATAGAGAAAGAGAACTTGAGATCTGGGAAGCCATCAGCACACCCTGTCCTCAACTAGTGGGGTCGGCTACCAAGGAGCATTCCTGGCTTACTAGGGAATAGAGAGGGTACAGCCCAGGGTGCCGCCTCAAGACAGCAAGTGAGTGATTGCAGCCAGCCATGCTGCTGCTGCCCAGCTTGGCCTGCTTGCTTCCTGGGGTGGCCCTGCTGACCTGACCTGCAGACCTGGGCTTGCCCTTCTCTTCAACCCAACTGCCCTGGTCACACTGGCCACCAGTGTGACCAGCAGGTACCACCACGGTTGCTCCCACCACCAAGTGCTGTCTGCTCTGTTTTCATCTTCATATGATCCCAGGTGTCTTCTCTGGAAAACTCCAAGTCACCCCCACAATACATTCTTCCCTTTGTCCAGGTGGCAGCCCAGTAAGAGATGACATTGTCCAGCCTGCCTTATAACAGCAGCCCTGTGATCAAGCCAACCACGTCTGTCTTCCATGACTACTTCCTAGGAAGTTGGCTGTCCTGTCCCTCCTCACCTCCCTCCTCTGTCCTGCAGGCTGGCACCTGGCTGTGGCAGTCCCAGCTCTCACTCTGTACACCCCAAGGGCAGTCATTTTTCAACACATGGTCCCTAGACGCACAACACCAGCATCAGGGGCCCGGCGCGGTGGCACAGTGGTTAAGGTCCTCGCCTTGCATGCCCGGAATCCCATATGGGCACCGGTTCTATTCCGGCAGCCCCGTTTCCCTTCCAGCTCCCTGCCTGTGGCCCGGGAAAGCAGTGGAGGATGGCCCAAAGCTTTGGGACCCTGCACCCGCGTGGGAGACCCCGAAGAGTCTCCTGGCTTCGGATCTGCATAGCATCGGCTGTTGCGCTCACTTCGGGAGTAAATCATCGGACGGAAGATCTTCCTCTCTGTCTCTCCTCTCTGTATATCTGTCTTTCCAATAAATAAATAATAATAATAATAAAAAACAACACCAGTATCAGCTGAGAATTCTCAGTCCTCTACCACACAAATGCAGATTCAGAAATGAGCCCAGCCAGTTGTTTTTTCACAGGTGAGTCTGATGCTGGGTCAAGTGTGGCCTATTTCTCAGAGTTTTGATGTCATGTCTGTGCAAGATCTGGATGGAGTTTGGTAACAAGCAACACTGCACTGCCTCTCCAGTACGGGCATCTCCAGAAAAGTCTAGATTCTTCTAGAGGAGACAGCTAAACAGGAAATTGCTGGGTCCTGCTCTCACTCCTGAGCTGGGGCAACTGTGGAAAGACCCGGAAGGTTGACTCTTGTGCAGGGCAGCAGTCCCTGGCAGAAACACCAAGATGTAAAATAGGGGGAAACAGCCACAGACGTATTTGTTTGGGTATTTCTTTTTCTTTCTTTTTTTTTTTTTTCTCCTAAAACGAAAAATGTGCTTTCCGGTTGGAATCATAATCTGTATTCTCAAAGTCCTGGCCATCGCTGAGGGTCATGAATCTTAGATACTTCAGGCAGGCAGGCAGTCCCAGTCTCTCTCACAGCCTCGTTTGGCTCCTGAGGAGCCGGGAAAGTTGGCAGTTATGCAGTTAGGCAGACAGAAGGGTTCAAGACAGCCAGGAGCAGACACGTCCCCAGGGGGGCAACCCAAGGAAAGCGCTGGGGAAAGAAAGGCAGCTTTGATCAAACTGCAAAAAAAAAAAAAAAAAAAAAAAAAAGCCTCGGATGAAAAGATGCAGCCAAATAGCTAAATAGCTAAGAGGAGAGAAAAGGAGAATGGCGCCTCCTACACCAGCAAGCTCGCTGGGGGTCCTGGGCGCCCTGCCGCTGGGCACCCGCTGCTTGGGGCCACCCACTTGCTGTGGGTTTGTCTTTAGTCCTGGAGCTGATACTGCAGGTGTAACAGCCCTGTACACTCTGGCCCAGGACATCCACCCTCTCCTGTTTAGCCACCGCCCTGCCCCATCGCTGAGCACGCAACCCCATGGGACCCCAATCACCAACTCATCACCACGCAGACTCGGACTGACAAGCACGGTCTGGGATTGGGAGTTCCCATCATTCCATGTGCTCCAGCTCAGCTCCAGAACTGTCATAGCCAAACTATGGCTGGGCTGAGAGGCAGAACCATGAGCAGCTTTTCAGAGGGTTGGGATTAAAGCCACATGTCCCAGGCCAGGGAGGAACTCCGCAGTCCAGACCTGCTCCAACTCGGCTTCCCTTGGCTCCACAGAGCCAGGCCCTGGGCGGGGCGGTCAGATGGGCAGCAGCGCCCCTCTGCCCACCAGATCCGCTGGGCATGGGGCAGCTGGAGCTGTGCATGCCCCGTGGGCAGAATCTTGGCTCCATGGGCACCACCCGGTCACACTCCCTGCTCAGCGCTACTGAAGAGCTGTTGATTTTTCCTTCCACATCAGCAACTTTAGGACAAGAAAGGGCTCTCGCCCCTGTAATTTCTGAGCAGTGAATTTTCAGGAAAAAAAAAGAAGGAAACCCCAAGGGATGATAAGCCACACTGACTCAGCGTTTACCACGTGCCTGGGACTGTGGGAAGTTCTTCAGGCACACCAACTCGCTGATTCCCCAGGCCAGTCCTGGGGTCTCCATGGTGCAGGCCAGGAAGGCAAGCCAGAGGACACTGGGGAACCTCAGGCTTACTGCAGACACATTAGGAGTCCCGTCGAAACACTGGGAAGATGCCCCACAATTCCCTTCTTTATTCCTGCACTGTAACTCCACTCCCACATGCCAACCTAGTGTGCCTACTTTCTCAAGCACCCAAGGGTCCTACACAAGGAAGGAGACCCCACACACGCGTGTGAGGCCGTGGAACTGAAAACAAAATGGAGTAAACATGGCTCATTGCTACTAGGAAACTGTGTGAGCCTGCAGGCTAAACGGCCTATGTGACTTTTAGTAGCGATGGGCCCCCATTTGAGGCCCAAGTCTGGTTATCTCACAGGTGGCTCCAAGTAAGTAAGTGGGTGGGCAGCGTAACTGCTGGACCGGAGGGGAGCCAGGCATGGGCTGTCCAGCCGAGATGGGTAAGGAATGTGTGGTATTTCCCCCCTCACCTTGCAGGCTATTGTGAACTGCCCCTATAAAAACCCTGTGAATGTGTTGTTCTGGGTGTTGGTCCCGGCTGCAGTCAGCTGATCGCTCAGTCAGCTGGTCAGCCGGTCAGTCGGTTGCCTTGCCTTTCATTTATAACGAAACTTTGTTGTGACTGTCACTGGTGAATGTGATACAACAAGGCAAATTCCACATGGGACCCCACAGAACTGCCATAAGCCCCTGTGGGTACCGAGGCTGGCACTGTGCAGCAAGCCAAACCTCTGTGGCACCAGGATCCTACATGAGCCTCAGTTTGAGTCCCGGCTGCTCCACTTCCCACCCAGCTCCCTGCTTGTGGCCTGGGAAAGCAACGGAGGACAGCCCAGTGTCATGGGACCCTGCACCCGTGTGGGAGACCCAGAAGAGGCTCCAGGCTCCTGAATTCAGATCAGCAAACTCTGGCAGTTATGGCCATTTGGGAAGTGACCCGGCAGATGGAAAATCTTCTGTGTTTCTCTTTCTCTCTGTAAATTTGTCTTTTACGTTAAAAAAAAAAAAAAAAAAAAACTTCCGTGCCCTCAATCTTGCCTAAGCACTACCTCTGTTGCATATACAAATAGGACACCACCGCCCCATCCTATAAGAGGACTGCTGGATTTAAGGCTTTCCCTTCCCCCCTCTTTTCATCTCCCACTTCCCTCCCCTTCCCTTCCCCCCTCCTCCCCTTTCCCCTCCCAGCAGCTCCCCTGCTCCCTGGCTAGCCTGTACACCTCTGACTGAACACACTCAGCACTCCGGAGTCCTATCTTCTATCCATTGGTTCACTCTGCAAATGGCCCCAAAGGCCAGAACTGAGCAGGTCCAAAGCCAGGAGCCAGGGGCTCCGTGTCTCCCGCGCGGGTGCAGGGTCCCAAGGCTTTGGGTCGTCCTCAGCTGCTTTCCCAGGCCCCAAGCAGGGAGCTGGATGGGAAGTGGAGAGACGGGGACATGAACTACTGCCCACACAGGATCCCGGCGCCACAAGGTGAGGATTTAGCCACTGGGCCACCGCGCTGGGCCCCCCAACACTGTGATTCTGCGCCGGGAAATCCGGGCTTACAGAAGTCCAGAACCGTGCTCAGGGTCACACCGTGAGAGACACAGGACTGAACACTTTCCACTGTGCCGCTCAGCCCTCAACGAGGCGGGGAAACGGTTTGTGCCTCTTTCTACAGCCTGCCCTGACTGTACACGGCCCCTTCCCCAGACTTTCCCTTCGCTTCCTGCGACTTCATACAGCAGCGGCCTGCCACGTCACACAAAATGCCCGAGCTTCCACAAGCCCCCTTCTAACTACACATGGCCCCCTCCTGTGACCGGGCACGGCTATGACTGCACGTGGCCCGGTCTATGACTTCACACGGCCCCCTCCTGACTGCACACGGCACACTCCACGACTTCACATGGCACTTTGTGACTGCACACGGCCCCCTCTATGCCTGCACACGGCCCCCCTGACTACACACGGCCCCCACTATGCACATGGCCCCCTTCTATGACTTCACAGGACCCACCCCGTGACTGCACACGGCCTTCCTATGACGCCTAATTTTCACTTCCTGGGAGGTCAACCTGCAGCAGCTCAGCAGGTGCCATGTCTAAGATGCCAGGCCAGCATCGCAAACGGCCGTGCGCATAGTGGATTACTGAGGGCAGAATCAAGTCCCTACTGAAAATGAAAACCTTGCCTGCTTCCTCCCACCCTGCCTTAGCCCACCCGGTCAGACGCCTTCCTTGGTACAACAGACGAAAGGTGAATGGGTGCAGGCACTGAGTGTGAGCTGACCTTGAGGGTGCATGGCTGGGTGGACCCTGCAGGTCCATGGCAGGGGGTGACCGGCAATCCTGGGAGCTCAGATCAGAATGACCTGTGCCCTGGACAAAAATGGTGGGAGGAGCCATGCGCGACCAGGGCAGTGTCCGCAGCAGTGGCCCACGGCCACAGCCGGTGCTGAGGGCAGAGATGGAACTGCATGGAGAACCTAGAAAGTGACTGCTCACAGGACAGGGCAGGGGGTGAGGAGGAGGGTGGAGGAGCGAGGAGAAGGGTGGAGGGGCAAGGAGGAGGGTAGAGGGATGAGGATGAG